AGATTTGCTACTGCCACCATTGTGGGGCGGGCGCTGTGTCGTGGTCAAGAGCATAGACCAATAAAGAATTCCTATAACTCAATATTTAGAAAATAACCCATTCTTTTAAATGGGGAAAGATCTGAACAAAGGCTTCACCAAAGAAGACATGCAAATGGAAAATAAGCACATGAAAAGATGCTCAACAACATTAGTCATTAGAGAAATGCAAATTAAAACCACAGTGAGATACCTCCACATACCTACGAGAATGGCCTTTTTTTTTTTAATAGATAATGCTAGTAGTGGGAGACAATGGAGTAGCTGGAACTCTTGCACCTAGCTGATGGGAATGCATAATGACACAGTCATCTTGAAAAACAGTTTAGCAATGTCTTATCAAGTTAAACATTTACTTACCATTCAACCCAACAATCCTACTCCCAAGAGAATTTAAAGCATTTACCCAAGAGAAATTAAAATGTATGTCCACACAAAGATCTGTAAGTGAATGTTCAAAGCCACTTTATTTGTAACAGCCAAAAACTGGACATCCAAATGCCCATCAACGGGTGTTTGAATAAGCAAATTACAGTATATCCATATGATGGAATATTCCTTAGCAATAAAAAGGAATGAACTCTTGATATATGCAACATGGATGAATCTCAAAAGCATGAAGATCAGGGAGGGAAGGCAAGCTCAAAAGGCTACATATGGCATAATTACCTTTACACGACATTCTAGAAAGACAAAACTGTAAGGACAGAAATCAGATCAGTGGCACTCAGGGGTTGGGGTTGGGAGAAGGAATTTGACTACATACAAAGCAGCACAAGGGAACTTTCAGGAGTGATTAAAATTTTCTAATTTTGATTAGGATGGTGGTTATATGACAGCATGCATTTGTCAAAATTTATCAAATTGCATCCCTAAAAAGAGTGAATTTTACTGTACATAAATTCTTATACCTCAATAAATCTGAATTTAAAAGAAAATTATCTAGGATGTTAATAATGAGGGAAGCTTTGCATGTGTGGGGACAGAAGGTAGATGGGAAATCTTTGTGCCTTCCCATCAATTTTGCTGTGAATCTAAAACTGCTCTAAAAATACAAAGTTTAATTTAAAAAAAAGAAGTAAATGTATTAGAAATGCATCTCTTGGTGAGATGAATACTGCTTTAATTAAAGGAGATTTTGATGTGAAAGGAAAAAAGAAAAGAAGGAAGAAAGGGGAGAGAGAGAGAGGAAAAGAAAAGGAAAGAATCTTTTTCATCTGTCACCAAAATCTGAAAACCCGCCCCCGGGAGGCAGTTGCGTACAAGACTTTGGAGCAGAACAGACCTTGTTCAAACCCCTCCTATGCATGTCCTAGCTGTGTAACAGGACAAGTTACTTAACCTCAGAAGAGCTGTGCCCCCTGAAACCAGGAGTAGACTCTTCTCAACTACAAATTCAATATCTGGGATGGGGCACAAGGTGTGTTGGGGGAGGGGGAGGTTCTTAGCACGCTTAGTCCAGGCTGACATAAACTTGACTTTGATTTTCAAGACTGCCTTTTTGTGGGTGTATGCGGTAGAAGCTAGATGAGGAATCTAGAAAAGGAGAGGTCACTGGGTATGGTCACCAAACAAAGAAAATGGGCCAGCTCTGCACCATTGCCTTAGCTCCAGAATACACTCCCCAGGAAAAGAAATTATTAACCTGATACCATATAGGATGAAAACCTCTGTTTTCAAAGAGAAAAGTCACAAAGACAAGCAACAAGGCCAGCTGAAACCCAAGGGGTAAAAAGCCACCTCCACATATAACCAGACACAAAGCTTGTGGAAATTTCGATTACAATGAAGGTGCTATTCAAATCCATGGGACAGAGGGAGACTATTTAATAAAATAACTTTGGGGGCAACTGGCTCATGATTTGCAATACAAATAAAGCTGGATTCCTACCCTCATTCCTTATACTAAAATAAACTCTAAGTTTATCAAAGATTCAAATGTAAAACATAAAAGTAAGAAAGAAAACATGAAGTAGTTCTTTTTTAATCTCAGAGTAAGGAAAACATTTCTAAGTAAAACCTAAGCTATAGAGCAAAAGATAGACCTTTTTGATTACTTACTGTTCTTTAGGATTCAAAAAAAGTCATAAACAAATTTAAAGACAAACCACAAATTAAGAAAAAAATCAAAATGCATACATACTAAGGCCCAAACTCTTTAAAAAGAACACTTAAAAACCATTAATAAAAACATATAGTCTAGGTTCCTTAAAAAACTAAAATTAGAGTTACCATATGATCCAGCAATCTCACTCCCAGGCATACATCCAGATAAGACAAAAACTCTTAATTCAAAAAGATACAGGCACCCCAATGTTCTAGCAGCATTCTTTACAATAGTCTAGATATGGAAGCAAACTAAATGTCCACTGATAGATAACTGCATAAAGATGATGTGGTATATAGACACAATGGAATATGACTCAGCCATTAAAAAAATGAAATAATACCATTTGCAGCAACATTGATGGACCTAGAGATTATCATACAAAGTAAAGTCAGACAGAGAAAGACAAATACCGTATGATATCACTTACATGTGGAATCTTAAAAAATGATACAAATAAACTTGTTTACAAACCAGAAACAGATTCACAAACATAGAAAAAAAAACTTATGGTTACCAAAGGGCAAATGGGGGAGGAATAATTTAGGAGTTTGGGATTAGCAGATACACACTACTATATATAAAACAGGTAAACAACAGGATGTACTGTAGAGCACAGGGAACTACATTCACTGTCTTGTAATAACCTACAATGGAAAAGAATCTGGAAAAGAATATATATATAATACATACATACTGTATATATATTTTATACACACATACACACACACATATAAAAGTGAATCACTTTGCTATACACCTGAATCTAACACAACATTGTAAATCAACTGTATTTCAATGTAAAAAACATACAGCCTGACAGAAAAATGGGAAAAGGACTTGAATAGAGAGTTACCCTCCAAAAATACAAACACCAAAAATCCTATGAAACCAAGGTTAATCTTACTCACAATTAAAGAAGTGCAAACCAAAACAAGATGCCACATTTTAAAGGGTATTTGGCATAGAAATGTTTAGATAATAATTTAAAAATGGAAATTATTGCAAGGCCCATCAATAGAGGACAGTTAAGTAAATAACAGTATATAAATATAATTAAATAGCATATACCTATTACAGTTTAAATGCTCATGCTAATAACACTGAAAGCGTCTGCAGTATCTGGTTGAGCAGGAGAAAAAAGATTTCAGTCTGTGTAGCAAGATTCCATGTATCTAGACAAGATTCCATGTATCTAGAAGTGTACATTTTGAACATTCATATATTTGTGAATACACAGAGAAACGTCTGGAAGAAAATTCACCGAAATGGTAACAGTGATTGCCCCTGGGTCGAAGGATTTTAGGTGATTTTTACTTTATTTTGAAATTGTAGTATCCTTTTAATAATCTACAATAAGCACATATTTCTATAATTAAAGAAAGCTAAGTTATATCCATTTTGAAAAATACAAAAAAAGTTCCAATGCAATATTCCAATAAAACAAAACTCATCAACATGCAATAAGGCAAATGGCCCACTGGACCAAGGCCCATGTCCTGTGGCTGAGCCTCCTAATCGAAGGTGGGCAGCAGGAGATAGAACTTTCAGTTTACAAAGGTGGAGCCAGGTGCAGGCTGGTATGAGCACAGAGAACAGATGTGGAGAGGGGAGAAAGACTCAGTTCAAACCTGGTTCTACAACATTAGGTGTTGACCTTGGGCAAGTCACTTAATTTCTCTGACCCTTAGTTTCCACCTTTGCAGAACCAGGATAACTGCTTCTACCACATATGTGATACCTGCAGCTCACTGCTTGGCACATAATAAGTACTCAATAAACGTCAGCTGCTTATATTATTATCTGGGACATTTGTAACCTTCGTTCACATTGCAACCACTATATTCTCCATGATCTGGGGTCACAGAGCAGAGTGGAGATAAGGAACAGCAAACCTTGGAGAATCCAAACATCTGGTCTTGGACAACATGCTTCTCCAGTCCCGTAGAACCCTTCCTGGAAGCAACAGTCAAGGAGTATGGCAGCCAGCAGGAAAGAGGTGGAGGAAGAGGACAAAGCAAGGGCCACATAATCCTCGGGTGCTGCCTACTGGTAGTGGATGAGCCAACACGACTCATTCCTCTCCTCCCACCCTTCCTCCTGACTTGGCTGGGACCTCCCCCGAGACTTCATATGTTAGGATCCTGGAAAGATGACTCAAATGCCAAGCCAGAAAGGACTTCAGAGATCATCTAGAACAGCACCCTTCATTCTGCAGATGAGAGGCCTGAGGACCAGGCAGAGGAGGGGACCTGCAGGGAACCAAGGCAGCCAACACCCAACATGACCCTCGATCATAGTGGTCCCTCCTTCGTTCATCCTTCCCTCTCTCTGGCTGCTCTCCTCACACACTCTCAATTTCCCTCTTCTTTTCCCCTGCTTGATTACCTGTCAGACTTCTTAAGGCCCCTTCTCTCCTCTGGCAGCCCTAATTGTCCCTTATGGCTCTGTGGTGAGGGAACAAACCAGACTAGGGCTGCTCTGACTCAAAGAATAGCCTAGAAAGAGGACTGTTGCAGCCATCACTAAGCCAAGACCCACACAGCCATTTTTCAGCCTCCAAAAGAAACAGAGCCCAAACCATGGTGTGAAACAAGAAGAACGGGAGAGGGAAGAGTCTTGAGTTATTCTGCCAGGTGACACTGAAGGTTATCTTGAAATTCTTAGCAAACAAGACCCTGGAAGAGAAGAGGTACCAGCAGATTCAAGTGGAACCAGCAGACTCCATCTCCTAGGCGGTAAATACAACCAAGATGCAGGGTAGCCATGGGTGAGGAGACACTTGGAGACAGGAGTGGAAGGCCATTTTCCCAGGTCACAGTCCCGACTTGGCAGTGACTGGGCTGGGGCTTACCTTGGGCAGGCTGACTGGAGTCCTGGGCTTGGTCCTTGGGTTTTTAATCAAGAGCCTCTGATCCAGAGGGAGCAGATGGTATTTCATGGCCTCGATGAGGAAGTCCTTACAGGTGTTGTTATTCTTTATCAAAGCTTCTTCTTCAACTGTCTAGAGGTAATAACCCACAGGTGATCCTGGAGCAGAGCTCAGCCCCTTTCCCAAGCTGTCTCCCTGGGCTGAGTCATTTCTGCACTCCCACTCTCAATCATCCCCACACCACATCATCTCAGACTCCAGGAGAAAGGTCCACAGAGTTACAGCTTAGTGCCCACCTCCTGCATCTCAAGAGTGCAATGGAATAAGCGATTCATCTCTGGCATCAAGCAGAGATACAAATCCCAGCTCTACGACTTAACTCCCCTGGTCCTTAGTTTCCTCATCTGTAAAATGGGCGTATTAAAGTCCCCCACAACCTCACAGCTTGTGCTTGTTTGTCTGGAGGCTTAAATGAGATTGTGCAAAACAACGACAACTGATTGTCCTGAAAGCTTCTTCCCATATTCCTTCTGGTTAGACCGTATTACGATATTTAATGTAAATAGACATCTGAGAGAAGGTGAGGGAGGGAAAGAGGAAGATGATGGGATCCACTGGCCAAACTTTGGAGGCACAGAGTATAATAATTAGGTACAATGATTAGATGATCACAAAGAAAAATTCTTATCCATTTTCCGACAGTGCAAGCCTCGGGGTGGGGGAGTTGGGGCAGCAGCCAGCGAGGCGCTCTCTAAAAAAGCAGTGGGATCAGAGCACAAAGAAGGTCCTGCACAGAAGTCTTACCTATTGACCTCCCCTTGGGCCCCATCTAAGCTGCGACTGTGGCTTCTTTGTGTCTTAGTCCAGACTGAAGGACTTATGCAGGGGCTCAGCAAGAGTAAGCCTAAATATTTCACAAGCAAAACTAAGGGTGATGCCATGCAGGTCCGCTGACTCTCAAATCTCTGCACTTGGGTGCCAGGCAGATCACTATGTGGCTTATCCCTAAGCAGGAGTGTGGTCTTCAGAGGCTACTTCATGCTTTCTTTGCCAGAGTGTTAGGGAGTTGTTGGCAAAGGTCAAGTCCATTCAGCTGCTAACAGTGATTGAATGTCTCCTGGTTGGACAGCTCAGTGCTGGACCCCGGGAAGAAAATGATGAACAAGACAAGGGTTCTGATCGTGAGGTCTCAAGTCCAGTCAGAAAATAAGAAAGGCCCCCCCTCGCCACAATTATCTCAGCCCTCAAGCTGTCATGTACAGGCCTGGATGAGCCTCTCCTGGGTCCCCTCCTGCAACTAGGAAGGGAATGTGGCCGGGGCCAGCACTGGCTGGGCAGCATCGGAGGTGGCAGGAACAGAAGGATGAGTGAGGCAGCGCCTCTGTTACCTCTGGGCACCTCCTTCCCCAGAGACGATCCCCAAGAACATTTCATTTTCTTGGAAGGTGTTTTTTCTCCCCCTCCCACTGAGGGACTGAGACAGATTGGAAAAAATCATAAACCTTTACAGTCAGTTAAAAAAAGAAATAAAAAGGGTGGGAGAGAATCTCTTAAAAAGCTTGAGAGGAAGGAGAAATGCAGGAATAGCTGCTTCTCCCAAAGAACACATTCAGCTTGAATCAAAAGCTCCCCCATTGACACAACATTGTAAACTGACTATACTTCAATAAAAATATTTTTTAAAAAAAAAGAATAAAAAAAAAGCTCCCCCAGAGAGTTAGTGCTTCATGGGTACAGAGTTTCAATTTGGGGTGATGAAAAAGTTTTAGAAATGGATATGGTGACATCTGCACAGCACGATGAATGCAATTAATGCCACCGAACCGCACACTTAAAAAGGTGCAAATGATCAAGTTCATGTTATATACATTTTATCGTAATAACAAAATTTTAAATAAGATTCAGCATGTTATACGCTTGGCACAATATTTTTTAACCCTAATAAATGTTAGCTATTTTTAAAAACACACACAAAAAATAACAACAACAAAAAACACCTCCCCCAGGAGTCAGTGTTGTTCAGGTCTGCCCAGGGCTCTTCCTTCCCCATCCTCCTTTTCCACCATCAGCTATCCCTGGTGGTTATACTAGCTTGAAGTTTCAAGGTCAAATGAATGAACTGAAACATCTTCTTGTTCTGAAAAGAACCTCTTAAAAAACAATAAAAGTCCCATACAACAGTTCTCATGCCCATTGCCTCTGACCCCCTTCTCCAGAGCTAAATCTGACTTTGCCCTAATGACCCAGGAACTATTTCTAAAGTCTTTGTTAAGTTTCAGGTGTGGGCACCTGATGGAGGTTGTGAGTGGAGGGTCTCTTCACCTTTATCTGGAACCCAAGTCCACAGGCCTCCCTTCCTCCCTGGGAAAGTGAGACTATGCTGTAGGCCACATGCCCACCTGGACCTGTGGGCAGTACCACCCTCCTCCCCTGCTCAGGACAGTGGGAGGTCTGGCTCCAACCCTGGGGGCTCAGGTGGGTTCAGTCTCTCCAGAGTGGACCTTTTCTACAGGAAGGATACGCTGCCACCAGGTGGCAGTGGTACCACCCAAAGCGTAAACTGCAGGGCACATACAGTCTTACAAGTACACGCCTCAGCAGCTGAGGGGAGGCTGAAGTTTAGAGATTCTGAGAACATCTGACTGAGCCCTTGGGCCTGTGGTCAACAACGTCACAAGCTGAGGACTTCACAAGCACTGGTCAGGATACCACGTCTCCCACAACTACTGAGAGTAGCAGTGGTTGTGAAGGCAGCAGTAACGTCACTGCACACTCGGTTGCAGGCTTTACCAGGATTATCTCATTCTGTCCCCAAACCATCTTGTAAGGGCAGTACTATTTCTACCAGATGAGAAGACTGAGGTTCAGAAAGGTCGAGGACTTGCCCAGTGTCATGTGGCCAAGAAGCGACAGAGCTAGGCTGCTGGACAGCTGAACCTTCTCTGACCCTTGCTGCACACCGGCCGTTCCTCCCGAGAATTCTTGGGGACAGCTCAGGGACAGCCTATGGCCTTGGCATTGGTTGTTTATATATTCAAGTTTTATCCTCTGTCTGCTTGTGAAACATCTAATGCCATTGATGGCACAAAGTGAGTCATGTACTGGACAGACGGAACAGAGAGTGTTAAAGGTGGTCCCAGCTTACAGAAGGTGTGCGCTTTAGAATCAGATAGATGTGGGCTTGAATCCTGACCCTACCAGCTGGTGATGCCAGATAAACCCCCACCTCCATAAGCCTTAAGGCCCAAATGTATAAAAAGGGGGTTAATACCTCTTCTCCCAGGGTTGTTACAAGGATTAATAGAGAAAATATGTGGGCACCATGTTTTAGAGGATGGAGATGCAATATGTACTCTTCCCAAAGAGCTGGTTTTTACAGTCCTGAATTGGGCTCTCAGTTGCCTTAAAAAAGGGCAAAAATGGAACATAGAAACAGGATGGAAAAGTCCCTTCTTGCTGCAGTCCTCTACAACAAAAGCAGCTAATGTCCATTGAAAATTTGTTGTTCTGGATTTCATGCTAAACACCTATACAATGTCTTTGGTCCTCACAATAACCCTGCCAGGCTCTGTTGTAATTTCCCTTCCATGGAAGAAGAAACTGAGCCTTGAAGAGGTTAAGTGAAAACTCAAAGCTAAGAAGTAGCAGAGGAGGGACTAAATCTAGTTGTCTTACTCTCAAACCTATGCTCTTAAACCTTACATTATCACACCTCACACTCAACCCAGTGGGCTGGTGCCCTCACCCCACACAAAAGACCTGTAAAACCCCTCACCACTCTCTACACCCGGGGCTGACCACTGCTACTCCTAGAGGTCTGGGCGAGCAGGGAAGCACTTGGTTCTTTGCACAGCACTCACCTGCACTAGGTAATCCCTAGGTAAGAGAGGGAGACGGACATGTTCCATCAGCTTTGCCATGTGCTCTAAACGAGTTTCTTTCTCATAATTGATCCATGAAATCACAGCTTCAAATACCTACAAGGAAAATCAACGCAGGTAACTTTAGCAAAGAGACAATAACTGTAAAACAGCTTTTCAAATAACTTCCTCAACCTGAAAAAATAGAAAGAAGAGTTACAAGTCATCCAAAAAGGTGCTTAACCCAAGGTCCAATATTTAAAACAAAAACAGAAATTCTTTCTCTGCTAGCTAATGTCAGAGAGTGATCTCTCTTTCTCTCTCCCTCCCTCTTGCACTCTCTCTCTCTCTCACACACACACACACCCATGAGTGCAATGATAAACCTGTTACCTCAGACGTAGAATCATCAAGCTTCACTGCAAAACAAAAATCAGTTCCAAGAGGTACTTCAGGGCAGAAATGCAGAGCTGTAACTCTGAACTCAAGAAGACCAAAAGCCCTGGGGTAATGTCATTATCCCCTCACACATACCCTATCCTCACCTATCTCCCGTGTTCATTTAATGTAGAATAAAAGCAATAAAGATATCTTCTGCCAAAAGTTGGCTGTAGTAGTGAATGTGACACTGAAGGGCAGAGAATGGCAAACATTTCTCCTGGGGTTGATCCTCTCCTCTGAGGTGAGATTTCATTTCTATACAAATCAAAACAGGACTTGGAACCAAAAAAGGGGAATCTATGGCTTGGGTATTTGCCTTGCTCAAGGATAAGTTCAAAAGCAAACTCCATACCACCATTGACAGAAAGACACATAAAACTCAATGTTGCTAAGGCTTCAGAGAAATCATCACTTTTGACAGAAACGTAATTAACATGGTTTTTTAAGAAGGGCAGGAAGAATTTGGCAATATCAATCAAAAATTAGATGTGCACACTCTTACTTAGAAATACCACTTCTAGAGCTCTATTCTACAAAAATATTCACAAAGGTGGTACAGAATATGTGTTCCAAGATGTCTGCTGCAGCATTTTTTAACAGGATAAAAAAGGAAACAATCTGAAGCCCACTAGCGGAGAAATTATTAAACTAGTATTACCATGGGATATTTTCTGCTATTGAAAACCAATAATAACAGTAACAACTAATAATAAGACAAAACACTTTCTTGTGCCAGAAAGCAAGAATGTGCTCCCAAGGTTAAGGTGGGGCGTGGCGGGCACATCAAACAGATACTGAATTAGATGGTGTTTTTCATTGCCGCCTTTTGGGGCAATTTAAACATCAAAGAGAATAATGAAGAAATCAGATCAGTGCTGACCAGGAAGGGGCCAAGGAAAACTTCTTGTGGTAACAGGTCCGTTCTGTATCTTGACAGCCTGGGAGTTATACAGACATACATATTTGTCAAAACTAACCCAATTTTACACTTAACAGCGATACATTTCACTGGGAGTAAATCATATCTCAATTTAAGATATTCTTACTTAAAAGAAAAGGATAGTAATGAATCATAACCCAAAGAATGAAAAAGAGTCCATGAGTCCATAAGGATACTTTAAAAAAGTGTGGGAAGGGCTATTCTTCATGGAAAAATGCCAGCTAATGAAGGTAAAAGGGATGATAGAATTAGAAAAATATTTTGCAACCACCAGTGTAATAACTAGTTAAGCAAAGTTCATCCTTAGGTGTTGAAGTCACTGGGTAAAAAGTTGTTGGGGAAAAGATATCCACAGTCCTCAAAGTGTCACCTTGCAGATTACTTATTAATTAAAAGGGGTGGTGGGGGGAGTCTCAAATGGGGAGATCTGACAGATAGCACCTTTAACGAGTGATCAAAGTTAGCACCACCAATAAATAGGCCAAATTTATTTATATTCTTGATTTTGATTTAATGGCAGGGACACAGCATGCCCTATGTCGTATTCTTCCTAAAACATTTAACCTGAATCTTTTAGTGAGGAAACACTCAGACAACTCCATGTCTGGAACACTCCACAAGAGAGTTGGCCTGGATTCTTCAAGACACAGCGAAAGAGAATGTGACAATAAAAGTATGTATGTTCACGTCTAACTGAAAAATTGTGCTCTACACTGGAATTTGACACAACATTGTAAAATGACTATAACTCAATAAAAAAAAAAGTTAAAAAAAAAAAAGAAAGAAAGAAACAGACCAAGATCACATGCTAACCAAATGTTCACATGACTGAACATACCATTAGGTGCTTACAAACCTGGTTCTCGCCCCACTGTGAATGGAATTAAGATGCATAAATAAAATTAAGTATACATGTAAAAAAAAATAATAATAATAAAATAAACTAAAAAAAAAGACTGTTATGATTATGCAAGAAATCAGAAAAAGAAAAGGCAGGGAGACAGTTCTAGGTTAAGGGAATTAGAGACATGAGAACTAAATGCAAGTCATGATCCTTATTTGAATCACGGATTAAAAAGCAACAACTTATAAACGACTTTCTTGAGACTTAGGAAATTTGAATGCTGGCTGTATCTTAGGTAATATTATTACATCAGTGTTACATTTCTTTGGTATGATAATAGTTTTATGGCTAGAAAAGAATTTCCTTGTTCTTAGGAGGTGTATACTAAAATATGTAGGGGTGAAGTGTCATGACATCTTCAATTTACTGTCAAATGGTTCAGCAAAATAAAAGATTAACTACGGAGAGAGAAAGCAAGTGAAGCAAAACATTAACAAGTGGTGAATTCAGGTAAAGAGGACATGAATGTTCATGCCTTCAAACTCTACTACAGGTTTGGAATTTTTCAAAATAAAAAGTGGAGGGGAGAAGAAAAGAAATCTGAAAAGAAAAGGTAAATACTACAATAAAATTTACAATTTCACAATTCACAAATTGAAATCAGAGCTGTAGCTCCCATGGTGGGTAGAAAACCTCCAATTTTTCTTACCCTAACTATATTTTTGTGTGTATTGATATGCTAATGATGCTTTGACCCTATTTCCTAAGAATATCCTGAAGTCAGGCTGGGCATGCTCGAATTGGACGAGATACCAGAAAGGAGTCAATCAGAAGGGAAAAAGAAGGGAAGAGAAATGAATGGAATGGAACAAAAGGAAAGGAAGATAATGCATGTACAATCTGCACCCATTTCTGTCTAAAATAACTGACATGTGTACAAACATAAACACACACACCATGGAAGTCCTCCCTGTGTAGTTCATTTTTTTAACTCTCATAGAGCTGTCTCTCACCCTCATCCCATTATTTTGTAAACAGCTGCATGTTTCTTCAATTGCCCTTAAGATCCACGAGACCGAGGACCTAGTCTTACTTGCTGGTACATAATACGTACACACTCAAATACATTTTAATGAATGGACAGAAAAATGAGTTCAGAATAAGCCTGCAAGCAGGCTGGAACAGAGAGCAGGGCTGAGGCTGGACTCTTGGTGGGGAGAGCAAACCCGGGCCACAGACCAAAGGATGCTGGAGAAGTCTGGCTTTGCTGGGTTAGGTGGTGGACAGCAGGTCCTGTTCTGCCTTGCACTGTGGTTGCCCACACTTCTGTCTACTTCCCTTGACTAGACAGTAAGCCTTGCAAGGTGAGAAGTGTACCGCTCTGTCTCTGCACTTCCTGCCACTTAGCACAATGCCAGGCACAGAGCACATGGCTGGTTGAGAAAGCCTTCCTAAAGAATGAGCCACAAGTCCTCGACAAGGTGGGATTTACAGATCATGCCCTTCCCCGTCAACCAGCTTAGTCTTTATTATAAAAGCTGCAAAGCAGGTTGAGTCTAATGAAGTCGATATGTAATCTTATCTTTCTTTTTGGCTTGACTTGTCTAACTGGTTCCACTCAGTTGCACTGTTTACCTACTCAGCTGTGAAAGCCACGGTATTCAGCAGCAACGGTGACCTTCTTGGCAGCTAGGGAAGGCCGTGGATTTTTTTTCATTTAGACTTCATGCTTGGAAAATAAGCAAATAAACTCCCAACTAGCCCAAGTGCCTAAAATCATCCCAACAGCCCCTCCCATCAAAGGGCCGGCCAAGGCAAAGGGGGAGCTGGTATTCCCCACATGTGGGACCCACAGATACCATCGCCCTGGACTCTCCTGAGCCGGTGAGGAGACATTGCTGCCCTTTAATGAATGACTCGCAAGACCAGGGCCAGAAAGCAGCAGTGCTGGGTCCCCATGAACCCATCTCCAGGGCTCAGGCTCTTTCCCATTATTCTCGGTAGCTGCCCAGTTGGCAAACCTCAGCCCACAGGCTACATGCACCTGTTTTTGTAAATAAAATTTTACTGGAACACAGCCACGCTGACTCATTACAAATCATCGATGGCTGCTTTTGCATGCAATAGCAGAGTTGAATTGAGACTCTGTGGCCCACAAAGCCTAAAGTATTTACTATCCACCTCTTTACGGGAAGACTGTGTCAACCCCTGGTCTGTAAAATCTAAGCAGAGAGTCTGTGGCTTCAATCATGGGACAGGGTGACGTCTACTCAGATGAAAATACTTTTCATGGGCCCCACGAGGAAATACTCAGCTGCCCGCAAGGCATGCTTAGGATTTCACTTTTAGACAAAGAAACAGCGTCATTTCCTCACTGCTTCATGTTCTAGAACCAATCTCTTGAGTGCCATGAGGCTGCTGTGTGGAAAGGAGATGCAGAAAATTGGATTTCACAGTCCTCGGCTCACACTTCCAATGTAAGCACCAGCCTTGGCCAGAGACCCTCAGATGAACTCGATCCTTCTCCACCAACCTCTGAGTTCTAGGGGCTGCCAAACCAGATTGTACCTGCTCACGGAGTGGAAGGGGCAGCCCTAGGACACTTATGCCTGCTCTCAAAATGTGTTCTGAGAATCGAGGAGGGGGCTCAAAATAGGCAGGGTGGGGACTTGGCAAGGGGAAAGGTCCAGTTAAGAGTGCTTCTCAGCAAAATACATGACAGGGGAAAATAAGCCAATTTTGAGAACATCAGGGGAAAACCCAGATTTCTACATGGACCAGATTTGTTACTTGAGATTTGAGACGGACTAACTTCAGCAATAACAACAGGCACAGTGCTAGGCATTTTACATGCCTGACCTCATTTAATCCACCAAAAAGTTTGTGAAGTAG